AAAATTACAAGCCTCCAAAGATAGGCATGTCTGGCGGCAACCTGGCAAATTTTGCAACTTTGGGGGTGGGGGATGTAACTTGGTCGGGAATCCACTTTTCCGGATTTTCTTTGCGGCTTTCTTTATGCTAGCCCAGACTCTACTAATCAGCAAAAAATGAAAAAAATCTGAGAGGGTGATTACGAAGGTGTGCGATTTGGCACGGAATGGCCCGTATATTTTTATATACATATATTTAAACTTATATATATATAAGTATACGTATATATAAATATATAATTAAAAATAACTCTTCAATATTGGAAGTAGGCATCTAATTAAAACAAATAACAGTTGCCGAACCCGAAAGTCGCCAAAATACATTTAATTTTTTTGTGAGATACAGCATTAAATTAAAATAAAAATTTCAATAAGTACCTGTGGTACAAAAGTCCTTCTTTCTTGTAACAGTGCATGTAACCAAGCAAGTATATAAAGGCACTGCATTTTAACCACACCGCCGCTAATGTTTAACCCTTGCCATCGACGTAGTGTTCGTAGAAGATTATTTCTGACACCCGGTGGAGATTCGTATGTTACTTTCAAAGAACCTTGCAGTACTGTTGACGGAAAATGTTCGTCTGGTTCAGAAAACAACCATAGACGAAAGTTTGGATGTCGCCGCATGTTCAGAAAGTCCTTAAAAACACTACGGAAATTTATTTCTTAAAGTTTGCACTCGTACTTTTTTCCCTCATGTAGTTTTTAATCAGTTTTTGGAAACTTTTATGTTTCTTTGTAAAATATCAGGTCATTTATAGTGTTAGCTATCCAAAAGCCTCTAAAAGCCGTATTTTTTTATTAAAATAAATCGGAAACTCTATCCTTTAATAAACTTTCAGCGATCACGCTCTGCACAAATATAACATTATTTTACTTTGCTTTCAACATTTATTTTACCAGGTTCTCTTTTTTCAAAACACCAAGATACTTTTCAACTAAGAAAAATTTGCGTGACTAATTGGAAGTATACGTATACAATTTTTACTAATAAGCTTTAGCTGAAGACTTCTTACCGCAATAGTGCGTAAATACTAAATCAATTGTTATAATTGTCTTCACAAATTTGAGATGTTGTTGACCCTATACAACAAAAAATACACAAACTCTTGCGCTCTAACCTCATATTTTCCTTGTTTTAAGTCGGCAACAAAAAAAACAGCCTCAAAACCACCTTACTTTATGAGTATAGTTTTACTGCAATAATGAGTTGAGTCGTACCTTATACAGTAGCAGTACAGAATCAGTAGAGAGGTGAAGGTTCTTGATGCATATCCAATGGCCGTTTTCTGCGCAATACCTCATCATCTCTGTCGCAGTCTGTAACTGACCTTGACCCATGGAAATTTGATGAAGCTTTCCCAGACCGAGCTTTTTGTTTGCTAAATCCACAAGAACCTAAAAGTGTTGCTGAGAAAGCTGAACAAAACAGTTGAGAACTGTCTCCTAAATGACTTTATTGAGTCAATATTTAGAGAAACCTGCGTTGGGTCGGCTCCAGTGCCGGTGACTACCAATAACGGCTCATTTTCACTACTTTCTTTTTCATAAATTTGTTCCAGATCAAAACTCAATACGCTTAATGAGTTTTTGTCTGCAAGAAGAAGCAATAAATGCACAATAAACTATCTTATTTACGCAGAAAGAAGAATATAAAGTAAGATTAAAAGCAGTTGGTGTTTTAAAAAGTGTTATTTCCACATTTGATGACCTGATGAAAAATATTTTTTCTCAAGTAAAGGAAAAATGACGTTACTCATTAATTTCTTCACAAATGAAGAGAGGGCAGAATTTAAGCGGTCTGGACGAACTGCCTGAATTACCAAAACCTTCTGAAACTCTGTCAAGTTTTCTTCAACAGAAACCGGGAACTTCACTTCACAGTCTGTAGAGTTAGCAAAATCTTTCCACAAATTTTCTTGATCAAGTCGCAACTTGTTGAATAAGGATGGTAAATATTTCTGAAATTTAGAATTGTCACAGGGTAGAATCAGCATCTGATTGACTTTTCAGCAAAGAACCGACCTTTAGCCTGGCTACATACGGTTTATTTTCATCCTCTACCCAACTTATTGCCTTTATTTGCTTTTCTTCGACTGCTTCGTCGTATAAAAATCCGATAAACAATTCCCACTCCTTAACAGTCATTTGTTTGAAGGTCTGGGCTTTAAACTCCAAGTGAGACAAATTGTATACGGTTTCTAAGCATTTAGCTTTTATTTTGAAAATTTAAATCAAAAATGAAAATCACAAGAAACTTGTATTGTTGCTCAACTAACATTTGGTTGGAAAAGATCAGACTGTATAGCTTTGATGAACAGTAAACCGAAGCAAAGACTATCTGTTTTAAACAAGGCTCGAGAAACGTAGTTAAAAACAGTATTTTGCAGTTGTTGCTTAAGCACATCATAATTTGAAGAACGAGAACCACTCTCCTGAAAGCTTTATAACTGTATAACTGTCTCTCAATAAAATCTAGAATCAATAAACTTTTTCAATAAATGCTTCCTTTATTGGTTTCCATAATTTACAGACCACCTCTACGTTAGAATTCAAACAGAAAATAAGCAAAAATAAAAGCAAACATAGCTCGTTTAAATATGAATTTTTGATAATCTTTAACGATGAACTTCAAGCAATCTTAAAAAAACGAAAAAATAAGCCAAAGAGACCTTGAAAGCCATTACTGTCTTTTTGAAAAGCTTGGCAATAGTACTGGCGTTAAAATTATACATATGGTTGTATTTGTGTAAGTCGCAGATGGCGAAATACAAAGAACTGGCATTTTCTGCTATTGGTAGATAGGCCTTCCTTTGCTTGAAAATATATTATGCTTGTTTATTATTCCAAATTTATATTGTCTTTAGAAAAAATATTGACGGCTTTAGAAGGAAGCGAGCCGTAAACTCGCTCGCTCCTGTCTTCCACGCATTCAACAACAGCAATTAAATAAGAGAAAAGTTAATCAAAAATAAAATATAGTTCCACCTACTTCGTTTATTTCCTTTTTTAACACATTACTTTCACTTATGGAAGTCGATATACTTTCAGCATTCTCCTTACTTTTATTTAAGGACTCCAGAAGTTGCGTGTTATTTAGCAAGCTGTCCTTAGAAGAGGCCAAAGTCTAAAAATTTTGCATCTTTTTTATTAGAATCGCTGTGAAAAAGAATTTAAGATATCCTAGTTATCAATAATTTCTCTGTAAAAATTTTACTCGCTTTTTCACTAAGGGTGAAACTATAACAGAATTTTAGGTCCAAAATAAATTTCCAAACCGTTCACCTGTAACAGCGTGTACTCAATTTCTTCAAGTTTAACTTTATTCTCCTCTATAATTCTCGTTATTCTGACAGATCTGCGTTCTAAATCGGGCTGCTCAATGTTAATAGCCATTGTTAGCAACTGTAATTCAAATTCAAGTCTGATGTAGAATCTAATAATTCCAATAAAAAAGCAAAAAAAATTAAAATTTGCATGCATAATTTGGTGCTCCTAATTAGAAGGCGAAAATAGATTTTGAAAAGACAGTAGCAGTCACAACTATTCTAGAAGCATAAAAATAGATCGTATCGTTAAAAAGCAAATAGAAACCTGAGAAGATAAGCCACTTTTAGTAGTCACAAAATTGACTTCGTTGATTGCTGACCGAATGTACTGTGGGAGTGCGATGTGACCATTTTTAGTGCAAAAAAATATTCGGAAGTCCGTATTATAATCGATAATTTTATTCCCAATGCTTAACATACAACGAGTACCTTAAAGTAATAAGCTTTGAGGATGTCTCAATGCAGATTTATATTATTTATATTTATTTATATTTATATCAACTATCTATATTTTTAGTGTTTCCAAACGAAGAATTTAGAGAATACGATAGGAAGAACAGTCTACTGGCATAAGGCTAATAATTGGATATTTTGCCTTGCACTGAAAATTCCTGTCTTATCAAGTTACAGAGCGATGGATCAATAGTTTCCACGTCATCAACAATGAGAACCTTTCCAAAACGAGCTGCTAGCTCTATCTGTAACAAAAGGTATAATTTGACAAAATTACCTTCTTTAAAAAAAAATATGTGTCTTTTGCAACAGTATTAGAATCTGTTTACAAAAAAAAAAAAGCTTTATGATTTATAGTATATTCAAAGCATTACTAGCTAAAATAAAAAATGCCATAAAAATAGTTTAATCTTTTATTATATATACTCGTGTAATAAAGTCTGATTGAAGAGCACTGATTTTTTCGACATTTTCACCATCATAGTGCTTCTCCAAAAAGCTTGCAATATCCCCACTAGGATCAATAATGAAAGGAATCTGTGCTGAATTAAAAACAATAGCAAGATTTTCCATAGTTAACAAATCTGCTGGCGCATCATCATTTTTCCAACTTAGCTGAAACGCCAAAGACAAGTCATAGTTAGCATCCCAACGCAGTTACCAAATTGAAACAGCAGAAGTAAAAGAAACTTTTCCGTTTTTCCATTTGTTTTGCTTTGTCAATAGCAATCATCTTCACAGTAGGAAAAAACTTACAAAAACAGGCGACAAAAAAATTATTATCAAACGTTTAAAACTTAAACCAAATAACCTACCTGCTCTTTATCATCACTCATAAATTTCAGAAAATCGAAATTTGAGAGTCGAAATGTCTCTAACCACACAGCTAACGTCTTTACACGAACTTGATCACTTAAAAAGCCGAGAAAAGTAATATATGCAGCAGAAATTATAGCAGACTGTTTCAGCTGAAAAAGCAGTTGTAAGAAAATTAAATAAATGAGCAGATCCACTTCAAAGTAAAAATTTAAAATTTGATTCACTCTTTCATGTGCTTTCTACCTGAATAGACCGAAACTGTAGCTCTTCCACCTGTTGAAGCCAACGATCAAATTCTCCACTCAAGCGTTCTATCAGTGTTCCGGCAGCGCAAATTTTTTCCTTAGATGTACAACATTTTAATCTTTTATGAAATATTTTAAAAATTATGAATAATTTATCCAATTAAAAAGTTACGACCAATTTCTGATTATTTGATTTTAGAAATAGAAGAAAAGAATACTATAAGTACATTAAGATTCTTCTGGAGTTAGTCTTCAACAACATTACCTGCTCCTCGTCAAGACTAATTTTTATTTCAGCCGCTTCTTTCATAAGAGCCTCAAAATTTGCTTTAAGCTCAGAAACTTTTGCATCGACTGTCTTCAGGCCCTCAGATAATTTGCACATTTTCCTTTCAGCCTTAGTTAAGTTCCTAAAGCAAGCTAAAATGACGAAACTTCACCGTAAGCTTCACCAAACTCCACCAACTAATTTGACAATGCAAAATTTTGTTAATAAACCTCAAGCTGTCATCCAGATCAAAAACAAACTTTGTTAAAATAACTTTTTCTTGCTCCAGAGGTAGTATCTTTTCTAATATTGCTGAATATTGCAAATTAGCCATCACCCAAGCAGCTAACGGAGCTGCTGCAGCAGACGCTCTTTTTGCATTCTTAAAAAAGCAAACATAGAAAGAAAGAAAAAAGGACAAAAAGACAAATAAGATCTTTGTAAAAAACTGATTTTATTTTGAAAAGCAAACTGTAATTTAATGCATTAACGCTCACTACAATGTAAAAGAAGCAACGTTTAAACAATGTAAAATCCAAAAAAAAGCATTGCATACCTTTAAATTAAAAGATGCGCTGCGGCTGTTTACTAAAGATAGCACTTTTTTTCGCGCATCCGGCTTTACGTCATGAGCATCAAAGTTAATAATTTCTTCCTTTACACCGCTTTTGGCTAAGAACCTATGCAGAAGTACCGGATTGAATTAAGCGAAAGAGAAGCCGCTCTAGCTTTAAACAGCAGAGAATATTTTAAATTTTCAACCAATTTTGAACGTACTTTCGCATAGCCTCCCAAGACGTATCCAGTATACCCATAAAAAGAAGAACAGCCTGTAGAATATCGCGAACTGTTTCTGGGGGAGCTCGAAGACTTCGAATCTCAGAGAGGCTCTCGGTTTTAATAGAGCCGACGGCTTTGCGTGCTTCATTAAGTAACGGCTCTACCTAAATAAGCTTTCTTACGAAAAAAAATATGTGGAACCATTGGAATGAGCAAAATAGCCAACTTCACGAAGTTGCTCTTCAATAAGGTGTTTCTGTTGTTCAATTTTAGCATTTTCTTTCTCAGCTGCAGTTTTCAAATTTTCAATATCGGCTTTTTGTTCTTTAGCACCCTGAAAGTAACGTTCCTCTGCTAACTTTGTTGTTAAACTTTTATTTCGGGAGCAATTGACAACTGAAACAAAATAAAAGCTGAAATAGACATAAAATATGTGCAAAGTACCGTCATGCCTTCGGAGATAGCTTTTAATGCTCTATTTGCTTCTTCCTGTTTTTCCTGTAAAAGTTTACTCTTCTTTGCAGCTTCTAACCGTAGTTTTGACACAGCCTCCTTAGCCTCAGTCAATTTCTCAATCCCAGCCTTAAAATCGCTATCGGTTAATAAAGTGCCACAAAAGACACTCATATTTGCAAATTTCACCCCCATCAAAACTTAAAAATACTTTAATCTTTTCCAGTCGGTTTTCCAATTCATTGTGTTTAGAACTGTAGATTTTCACGTAGTTGTTGATGAATGAGAAATATTTCAAAGGAAGAGCTACGCTCTGCGGGACCTGCTCATATAGCTGTGAAAAATACTCTGTAACCTCTCTATCGTTATCCAAACCATTTTTTCCGAGTATAAGATACGGAATCTAAATAAAACCAAGTTATAAAAATACTTTTAAAAACACTAATTAGGGAGTAAACCTGCAGTAAAGTATCAGCGTTCCAACTACTGTACCATACGACTGAACATTCTTTGACAACAAATGGATTTTCTATACATCTTCTAACAAAATCCGGATGGTCAGAATCCATGACGAGAACAAAATGCATACATCTTTTAATTTCTAAAAAGTCTTTTCAATAGTTTTATGAATTTTAGTTTTACCTGAACCTCATTACTTCCAAAAAATATTATGTAAAAACTGTTGAGGAAACAGACTATATGCAAAAAAATCATGAACGTCGCCATTAAATGAATCTTTCGACAACTGATCACTGAGCCTTATCGATAGTGAGTCAAACTCCTGTTGAGTAAAAAGTCCAGGAAAGTCTCCGCACGCCAGTACAGCATTCAACGTTTGTAGAAACTCTTCTTGTAGTATTTGATAATCCTCTATGATATAAACGGTATGCTCGTTATTAATGACTGTGTATTCCATAGCCTAAATCATTCATCAGATTCTGTCATAGAATTACTGTAACTGCGTCTAATAATAATAAAAAACTTTGCTTTTTGTTCACAAGATAGCTAAAATGTTTCTGCAAAAAGCATAAAAAGTTGAATAACACTCGCTTCAAACATCCGAACTTTTACAAAAGTGTGTGTGTTATGAAAAGGAATTTAAAAGCCTATTAGGACTCATGCCGTTATGCTTTTTCTACTCCATAACACGCTGCACGAGCTACCAGTAGTCGAGCAGCACCTCACCGCTTGTTCTGTTGACGTGTAGCACGACCAATTCAAATCTATCAAATAATCTCTTTTATAAATGCTGCCTTCCAAATCTTGACATGCTTATGCGAAAGAGAGAGCAACGCAAAGACTGTCTAGCGAAATTTGTGAAGAAACATGGGGAATTCATAAATACTGTTCTGCAAAAATGTGATAAGCCAACAAAAAATGTGATACACAAATAAGTCATTTGACGATATGAAAGTGCACTGCTTCTCTCAGACTGATTAAGGCTCTCAGAAAACAGTGAACCAAATTGGTTCATTTATTCTACGTCGAGCTCAGCAAGAGCTTCTGTTTAAAAGCTTGCCATGAAAGCACAAGTGTAGCTTGAAGTTCTGCAGATGTGTCCTTCATTAGAAAGACTTACCAAAAATCGACCGTACTGAAAAGCAGAAAGACAATCCAGAAACTTTTCCAGGTCCGGCAAACCCTGATTAAGAGTTGAGAAGCAACGGAACTAACGTTAGAGTTGACGAAACGAGTTTGTTACCAAAAGCTTCTTCTATACGAACTGCGCAAGGCAGCTATTTAGGAAGGTATATAATGTAACGCTCTTTACACTCTTCTTTGAATTTTTGTTTTAGAGAGTCAGTAGCGTTCATGCAGGCATCACTGACGCAGTAAATGCAGTGCAACTTGTAATTGACCGTCACGTGCTGATACTTTTCAGGTAAGTCTTAAATACTGCTAAAAAAAGACAGCTATCCAAAAAAAAATTTTTACCTGGAAAAGTGTACTACTGAACAACAGGCACAGATGCAGCAGCATTTCTATTTTCACCGCAACAATGACAGACTTTTTGCTACCTCCTGAATACCTCCTAAACTCCAGCGGTGCGGAACAAGCCTTTCTTTAGTATTTCTTCGCAGAGGCCAAAACAGAATCGTTTCACGACTCTACGTAATTTGCTCAGCTTAATGAGGCGTATTTTAAGTTAGGAGGTGTATACATCTCGGAAGGCCCTAAATAGAAAACAAATGCACTGCAGCAGCTTACCGCATTACCTGCCTCCCGATGCACTCTTAGTGTAGTTAGATTGCAGCCTGGCACGAAACCTGTGCCCAGTACAAAATTAAATAAAAAAAATTCTTCTGCTTTTGAAACTCTACTTTTCAGGAAATATCCTAATGTGAAACCGCGCTTTTTTCTACAAATCTTCCTCTTTCTTCAAAAGCGTCCTCTCTGCACACTACAAACTATTTCTAACGGCGATATGAATCATTCCGCTGCCAAAAAGGCAAAAACGCTGGATATGAAGAAGGCCAAGAAGTTAAAGCCATACTCAAGCTCGTCATTAGAAAGATCTTGACGAGAGAAGTTTAGAGAATAACCCGTTAGGAATTCAAGAAAAAGCACACCGATTACCACGTAATTGGCGAAATAAAATGAATTAAGTGTAGAAGTAGCATAGAATTACTTTTACGAACCTACTTGAATAAACAGAGGAACTTGAAACTTTACTAGTGGAAAAACTGGGTGTTTGGTAGGAAAAAAGTCCATGCCACAAATAAAATGCATTGGCTCACAACAACCTGCGCCATATGATGTTGTGGTATTCCCTTTCCGATTGCCCTTTATCTAATCAGAAAAAATTGTTCGTATATGACTTAAAATATTCCACCGTCACAAACAGAATTCGTTTCGCTTGCTCCTCCCCCCTTCCTTTATCTGTATTGTGTCTGTGTTCTGAAAAAGGATTTTTACTGATTCCTTTTTAGCTTTGTTCTTCTAATTACCAAAAAACCTTCGTCGATCCCCTCACAGCCGAAACGACCACGAGTTGCTCAGTCAGTTGAATAAACCTACCAAGTTCACTTTCCCCTCAATCTGGGAAAACTCTTATTAGAAAAGTTCAGCCTTCGCGTGTCCCATATATATTTATGCAACCAACTCTCGACGGATTGCGTCGACTGCCCGTCAGAGAATTGAGGAGGTATTTCATGCTGTTAACAGTGAGCCAGCTGTGCTGTATATCGCATCCGTGCATTATACCAAAAAAATGGGCTTCTGGCTGGCGCTCTTCTCTTCAACTAATCGGCAGAATGGAGCCGCCAATCTACATAAAAGTAAAAAATCCTTAAACTGATATCTGGTAGACCAATCAGATTCCCTGGTCCCCACATGCTGATTAGGAGATGAGTCTGTCAATTAGAAGCCAGCCTCCTCGGTAAAGCATAAGAATACCATGTACAGCACGTCTAAATCACTGGCAACAGTAGAAAATACTTTGCCACGTCACTGAAGCACGACCAGCATAACCACAGAGCTGGTTGCTTACAATTATAAAAGAAACAGAGAAATCTATGCGGTCTAGCAGACATTCTCCCGGACTAAAAGAAATGACTTGTTTGTGTTACCCAATTCGTCGGATACTCAGCGATTTTTTCAGATGTCAGTTGATCGACGTAAGCAATTTTGTAGAGAAGAAAAATGCCAGAAAGAAACGAGCAAAAGTCTTTTTTTGAAATCCAGATAAAGAACAGGCAAAGGTGAACGGGAGATCTAGTGAAGTGAGCGTGAGTTTACAAAGATTTCTCTTCTCTTGTCTTAAATCCCTCAAATAATGTTTATATACAACTTAACATATTATACGAGGGTAGCTTGAGATGGCACATTTGGCTGTTCGTCAAAGCTCTCTAAAGTAGTCATTTGTCGTTTTTAGCGGTTTTCCGAGTTTTTGGCTAATAACAACCTCTTTCATTTACTAGAATTTTTGCCTGATGTTGAAACTAATTTTATGTTACTTTTTTACTTAGTTCAATGCCCTTTCCAATTACCTGGTAATCGATTTGCATGTCAATGTAAGATCAAACTGCGCCAGATATGTGCCGGAAGACTAGCAATGCGATAACCTCTGCTGCTATTGTTTATTATTTCAAGGCTCTCCGGGATGCATGCTTCTCGTAATTTAAGAAAGCGTGCCTTGCTGGGTTAGGCGAAGCGAGTAAGTCGTCGCAACTGATGAAGCGGTTTTGGTCTAGCGAAGAAGAAATATAGAAAGGATTGTTCACTGAAGTTTTGAAGGTACCAAGGACGGTAGCAACAAGTCTTTCATTGTTCCAGTTGAACCAGAAATGATGCTATTTTTGTGCCTGATGGTAGGCAGTACATTTTTCCAGGTACTACTGTTGTTTCGGATAGGTTTCTTTTTGCAGCAGTATTTAGGACTTACCTGAAAGGTACTAGCACGTGATGGTCAATTATAAGTTGCACTTCATTGACTGCGCCAGTGGTGCCTGCATAAACGCCACTGACCCATTGGCAAAAATTCAAAAAAGAGCGCAAAAAGCGTTGCTGGACCTTATCGACATAGCTACTTTGCACAGTTAGAGCAAGTTTTTGTGCATACCCCGTTTTAGCATCTCTAATCCTAGAACTGTAAACTTTGTCATGTTTCAACTCTCCGTTGTAATCTGTATGGTCTGAGAAACTAGCCTTAAGCTGCTTTTGTGCTTCCAAGAAACACATCTAGACTGCAGCTTTGCAGAGTCCCGCCTTGAGTAAATAAGCCCGTGAGCCTTAATTAGATAGCGTAAAATTGTGCAGTTTCACATCAACTGTAACTTACTTGTGTTTCAATTTTTCTATAGATTCAACAGTGCACAGCAGCTTGTATGTGTTCTCCATATTTCATATAAAGTGCAGTCATCATTCCCTGTGCTACTTTCCCTAACTTCAGAAACCTGTCGATACTTGAACAGTAACTTACATAAAAAGGCTTAGTTGCGAAACTCAGCTTAGGCATGCTGCACGCCGGCAGACCGAACGATGGAATGCTACTTTGCTGCTGCTGGCTTGTGTAAGACGCTACAATACAGCGTCCTGTTTGGCTTACGGATTCTATCTCTACCCCGCTGGACAAATTTCCACTGGAGGCTCTGCCAACAAGAGTGGGGAAAGAAGAGGAAGTTAGTAGTTTATATAAGCTAAGAACTCTCTGTTTAAAAAACAGAGAAGAAAGAATTGATAATTTTCGACTTCAACCTGCTTTAAATCGTTATTAAACTGTTTTATCCCGTATGTAGTTGAGACTTGGGGAGTAAACGTTTTCATCTGATGTATGTGGGCCACCAAAGATGCTGCCGCTCTTCGCCCAACACCGGCTTTTCCAACTAGAGTTGTAGATCCACCTAGATTAGGGCGAATTAACTAAATTTCCATAAAAAGCTTTGAAAGTTTAAATTTGACTTAACCTTCAGCGGTCAAAATTCGGTCTAGCTTCGAGCACAAAGAAACAAAGTCGTCAAATAAAGGAGAGTTTAATTGAGCAACCTCAAATTCTAAAAATGTAAAAATATAAAGATGTCAAGCACCAAAGTCCAGGTAGAATGTTTTTCTTTTGTTACTTATCAGCGCTTATTTCAGCAGTTTTTCAAAACATTTTGTCATGTTTACTGATTAGTTGAAGCGTTATTAATCAAACAGCGTTATCGCCTCAAAAATCGACTTTATAGATTTTTAAGCGCTAACATTATTATTGGTTAGAATTACGGTCTTAAATGATGAATAATTACCGTAGCGATTAGCTGACTTTTGTAGACTTCCGTGATATTCTTTAATAGCAATTGGTGAAAGCAAGGCACTTCCACTGCTCCCCATCGACAGCATTGCAACTTGAGGGGAGACAAAGTATATCTCTACAATAACAAACAAGCTCAAGATTCTTTACTACAACTTTTCCGTAGCCGTCGCCAAAAAAAA